TGTACAATAATATATCGTACGATAACTGCACGAGCTGGAGAGAGGAAAATCGGTCACGTACACTCGCGGTACATGTATTATTATCGTGTGTATATCCGTACGAATTCCGAAACTGAAAGTCATCGTACGCTCGTAGGATGGTCTGTAGGGGATGGGGTTCGGTGGATGAAAAAAAAATTTCAGGACGCAACCGTATGATACGATACGAAAGAGGTCAACTGCACCAACGCCAAGAGTATTGCAAACGCTGCAGGTATATATATATATATAAATATATAGATAAAAAGCTGATATACACTTTTTTCTTTTCTTTGTTACACTCCTGCTTCAGCCATACATTATATCGCTGTCATCGAGATGGACATTCAAATTCTATTTTTTTAAATTGCGAAAACGAGAAGACCGTCCTTAAAATTATTGATGTATGATGATTTGATTCTTAATAGCAATCAAAACAGAAAAAATTGTTCAGAATAATAGTTTTTATTCCTATTAAATAAAACAAACGATTTAAGTATTATTGTTTACTGCTCTAAAAATTAACAAAATAATATATCATTGACAGTTATTTAAATTTATTAATTGTCGTTTATTGTGCATAATATAGTATTTACTTGTAAATCTTCGTTATTCTAATAATTTCAAAAGCTCTGTTTTAGCCTTACATTTAATGTTTAATCTATGTACGTTATTTGTTGATTTAGGAATTAAGTTATTATTGTTTTATAATTACATTCAACAATATCACTCAATTATTCAGTTGTTTTATATTGTTATTTTCAATCTGGATCTACCAAAATTCAATACCTGAATTTGATTATTTCATATATAAAACCTATGTACGTTTTTCGATTTTAATTTATTAATAAAATATATTTGTAACATTCATTTCGTATATTTTTTAAAACAATTCAGACTGTGTCTATTTATATAGTTATCAGTATACATGCAATATTCTGCGAACGTTTACTCACATGTGTTTAAACTGCAATCTATTATTTTCAAAAATGTCTCAAAAATTCAAAATTTTAACTTTTTTTTTGGGAGTGTCGTGAAAAATTTAAAACGAATTTCAACTTGTGTTATGGATAATATTATGCGATTAGAGTATCGCACAAATGTTATAAAACTTATACACCAATGAAACGTAGTAATTATACTAGAATTGTGTTTCCCAATTTTCATGTAGATACATATAAGTAATAAAAATGTACCATATTTTCCACTGCAACAATTCAATGACGACAGTATAATTTTCGAAAACCGTATGTGCACGAGAATATTACACATTATGTAGGCATATATAGTGTATACCGTATTCATTATAATACTGTAAACGAATTTATTATTATTAGTATTATGTGAGCTCACCGTCACCGATATATGAATACCTAACCTATCTATACAATATTTCTATATCTATATGCACGGCCGTGCAACCACCTATATTGCCAATGTCGTATACCCACGTCGCAGTATCTTTCCAGTCTGCCGACTTCGTTAAAATCTCCGATGTATTTCGGTCACGTAGTTAAATTTGTTCGACTGACTGAAAAAAAAAACGCGGTGGCATATTATAACCCCCATTGCAGGAGATGTAGGCGTATAAAATATTAAATAAAATCAAAAGAATAAAAATAAATCTTGATAAATATAACGCGATGGCGGCGACAACAATATTATTGAAATATTTTCGAAAGACAGAAATGCAAGCACGTCAATGATCTTTTGAATTAAAATTTATTGAAGCGCTCATTCGTCGACGACCTTTCAAGAAAATCTAAACAACGACTAATTATATTAAATGATATACACTCAAGAAAATTTATGTTTTTTCATCGTGAATACGTTAAGTTTCAAATAACAAAATTTCTTAGATTTTCATTAGAAAATTAGAATTAAATACCCAAAGTACTATATTGAAAACCATAAATTCATACATACTTACCAGATATGCTTGTTTGTTATCGTGTAAACTGTGAATTAAACTTATAAAAAGTATAAAAGTATAAACACTAAAAATTATACACAAACTTATTTTTATAATAGGTACACATTATAAATTTCATATGTTAGCTATTTAACAAATATTATTATTACTTTTTTTATTTTTTTTTTTTAAAAAACTCAGAATAGTCAAAGTATTAAGTTTTAAAAATTATAAAATTTCTTTATTATTGCCATTATTATTTTTATTTTATTTTCTAATCAATCAAATCTCAATATTACTCGATTTTTTGTACAGCAGTAATAATTATTACTAATACTAAAACAATTATGTTATTCGTGTAAGGCGTAGACATAACTTCAAATACTCGTAAAAGACATAAACATTTTACATTGAAAATTATTTTAAATTTAAATATTATAGAAAATAAAACACATTTTGTTATTTTGTTAAAATATATGGTGTTAATTAGTATATTTAGTAATTTTTAAACTTCAAAGTAATGTATTAAGCTATAATGATACTAATAATTAGTAATAACTAATTTAAAACAGTTAAACGACATAAAATAAACATTAAAGCGTCATATAATTGATCAAATATTAGGTTTTCAACATAAAAAACTGAGTTAACTAAATAAAGTTTAAAAATATCTTCTATTTTAATTACATTATACAATTCAATGGAGTCTATATTGAGTCTTGATATTGATATCACACGTGACAGTTAAGTTAAATATATTTATTGGTTTCAATAGTTTCTGTTTTTGACGATAAAATAATGAAATATGTGTAATAATATATTTATTACATAATAATATGCACCTGAATAGTAAATCAATAATAGACATTTTATACACAAAAGAATGTATTTTTATTTTATTTTTTATTATTTTTTTTTTTTTTTATTACAATTAGTTGAAACTACTAAATGGTTATTATATTAACGTTAACTAAGAAAATATAATACGAGAACAGTTATGCAATAAAATAGGGGATATAATGTTCTTTGTAAGGAGAAAAATTATTTTAAATACTAAAGCAAATATAAGACTATTTTTTATTATTAAAAATGTGACTTATTGCTTGATAAAATTAATAAAAGTATATTGTTTTAAATTTTATTACATAGATATTTATATTAAAAAAAAAACAACAAATTATTAACGTGGAATTTTATTTTTTTTTAATATTTCTACCTACAAATATTTATTTTTTCACAATAAATAATATTCAATTTTAAAAAACACGAGTTATCAAATAAAATATAATATATTTTATTATTTAACCATTACTAGTGTAATTATTTTGGTTTTAAATATTATTATTAATAATAGATGAAAAATATGAATTAATATAATGTTTTTAAGTATTATAAAAAATACTTCCTGGATAAGTTTATTCATTTTTAGAAATTAAATATTCTGTAGCATAATATGTTATTAAAAAAAAAAAAACAAGAGATCGCCATTTTCAAACATAGAAAATGATTTTTTTTTAACAATAAAAATGCATTGTTTTAAAAATACATGATATTTTAAACGTGAATTACTATCTATTAATATATTTAAAAGAATAATAGTTGTTAATTATTGTTGTAGCTATATTTCTACATATTTATATAAGAATGAAGACATAAAACTAATATAACATTTTTGATGTTTCAAAATAGTGAATTTTTTTTAAATAATTGTTCACAGTTACACAAATTATGTGCTGTATAAGCCACAAATAGGTGAGAATTAATACAATAAAATAATATTACGAAATAATAAGTTTTAACCTAATATCGGTATACATAATTTTATATTTATACGTATACAAAATAAGTAGAATTTTATACATTTTCCTAACTAGCATGAATTAATTTTGGGAATCGACCATTACACATTTTAAAATGTATGAGTGATATTTATAACCCTGGAGGTATTTCAAAATATATAGTATTGACTAAAAGTATTACAATGTATTTGTATATTACTAATCTCAGCACTCGAAGATATAAATGATACGTTTTATATACTTTAAAAGCATATTAAAATTAAAATTAATAATTCATTATGTTATACGCCTCTTATATTAAATATTGTATAAATTATATTATATATTATTAAAAAACTAATATTATTAAACTTATTATCTATGTGGGAGTAATAAAGCTTTTATTACGATAATATAGTATCATTTAGATTAATATCTGTACGAGTACCTACATAGTACTACTCCATGTATATTGTATATAATATCATATGAAATACAATTAATGTTCTGAACAATATCTAATGTAATACATAATACATACATTATACAATAAAATCTGATGTATAAGTTTTTAATAAAAGCTTGTAGTATAGCAATATATTATTTAAAATCTTTAATTTAATTTCACAATATAAAAAATTCAACTGTTAAATTATATTAATGAATTTACGTGTCATAAGTAAGCTATAGAGAGAAAAAAACCTTATTTTTAGTTTGAAACGTACCAATACGTATTGTATATTATTATGAATGACATAGTGGTTGTTTTTTTTACACGAAAAATCATTTATAATAAACATGTGGTATGTAAAATTAACTGTCAGTTACACGGAAATCATATTATTTAGGTACCCAATAAAAAAATATCGCAAAACAAAACTAAAAAAAAAAAATTCGATTATTCTGTAATTTTATTTTCTAATTTGAATTTTTGTTTGAATCAATAATTTTAACATTCAAATGTATCTATTAAAAAACATGAACTATTGTATAATCATATATTGTATCAAGTATACAAATATGCACTTTTAATATTTTAATATTTTTTACAATAACAGTTTATATTAATTTATCGGTAAGTCGATTATATAACCAATACCATTAATGTAAATTATTAAACGTTGAATGGATATTATAATTTCTATAAGTAATACTTACTATTAAATGTTTATAATATTAGTATGAATTATTCCCCAAATAATACAATTTATAAAATATTTTATAAACCTATTAAATTATTATTATTATTTAATAGTTACATATATCGAGAAAAATTGAATTTTATCACTTACCGGCCTCTTTGCGGTCCAGTTCCATAGTCGTAAGAAGAACTAGAAGCTATGTCTGCATCTAGTATTTTGCCAGACTCCATTCCCAGTGAATTATTGCATTCATCTGAAATTAAAATTAATAGTTATTAATCATTAATTTTGAGTATGAAATATAATTATTTTTATCATCATTGTACGATAATAATAAAAACAAATAAAATGGCTGTAGAAATTATTTCTTATGCTTAGTTTCACGTAGCAATTCGCCTCAACACAAGCTAAAGCAGTAAGTTAAAGTATCAAATTATTTAAATTTAAGATAATTTAGATAGATACCTGTACGTGTAGAATTATATATGTAGACGGGCCGTTAAGATATTTGTTTAAATAGTTAAGTATTATTTTAAAACCATCAAAACATCAGACTCACAATAAATTACTAACTAAGATAAGCATAACAGCAAAAGTATAATGAATGGTCTTATCATGTTCTTTTTTTTTTTTACTCAAAGACACATTAATTACTATTCTAATAAAATCAATGTTTATCATATATAACAAAAAAAAAAAAAATATCAAGACTAGATAATATTATTTTTATATACTCATTACTCATCTATGTAATCATAAATTAAGGTGAAAATCAAAATTTGCATTTTTATACAGATAAAGATAAATATTTGTGTACACATCATATTACGTTATACACGTTTCATATAACAATGAAAAAATATTTCTTGATAATGATCGTGTTTTATTATCGTTTTACAATTTATAAGTACATTTCAATAAATTATCTAACAGTAATTTTGTCGTTTGTTTACTGGAATATAAATAGCACGTCATCGACAGTATCAATATTTTTTATGAAAATTTGTTTTTTTACAGGCTGTGGTAATTTGATAAAAAATGATGTCATTCAATTAAAAATAAAATAATAAATACTTTTAGGCTTTTATAATTCAGATACAATGTTGATCGTTCAATAAATTTAAAAAAATCTCTTCAAATTCGTTGGAAAATTATATACAAATTAAGACCGTAAAACGTTTTTTAAAACATTTTGATAATGAGAGTTGTATCAACTATTTCCAAATCTAAGTAAACTGTTTTATAGTTTTTTTTTCTTTAATAATATTAACCGGTAAAAAATAAAATTATTAAAACTTTTTTCTTTGATTATTCAAACTCATTTTTAAATAATATATGTTTACGATACCAACGTAAACTTAAATTTAACAATATTTAAACACGAGATGCTTTTCGTATTCAGCAGCTGTCGTGGACAGAAAATAGAGTCACGTTAAGCGTTGCGTTCTCATCATTGCATGTATTATATGTGTTCGTATAAAACGGGTCTAATATATGACTGTCAAGAACAACCAGGTGTATCAATGATTAATGGAAATGTATCTATAGCATTAACTAGACTTTTTACTTGCAATTGTTTAAATATTCGCAGTAATATCATAAATAAAATTCCCTAATTAAATTTATTTTTAGAAAAAATGTAATATATTATTTTAAAATACACTAAAAGTCATAAAAATTAAATAAAATAACAAACTAATCTTATTGAGAAATAATTTAAAAATAACAATATTTAATATATCTGTATAGATGTATTTTGTCTTAGATACAATCTTATCTATTTTATTATTTATATAGATGAAATAAAATTAATAACAGGTACTGATCGATACTGAATAAAAATATATTTCATAACCACCAAAATTATAAATAACTGATAAGTACAAAACGTCTGTTATTTGCTGTTTAAATAAATTAATACATCAAAATATAATACAATTTTATTAAAAATGTTAGTTTCTATCACACACTTTTTCACAGACAAACACTAATTATATTTAAAATTTACTATGCCAATTCATTTTTATTACATATACATCAAACGAAAAATTACAATAAATATTAAGTGTTTACTTAATACCGTATCTGATACGTTATTAAAAAACAGTAACCTACAATATGCCGTTTAAACGATTTTCAATCATATGAAACTCATATTATCATTAATAAAACGTATACATTTAGAATGATTTTAAATATGCAAATACAATTGCATGGGGAAATGCAACATAGAAGCGTAGACAGGATTTTTTAAAGAGAGATGTTTTAATTTAATATTTAAATACAACTAAGAGAGAGAGGGCTGTTTAGTGTTTATACATTATTCAATCATAGAATCATACGGTCACATAAATAAATTAAAAAATACGTTTAACTTTTAAATATTTTTTTAAACAAAATAAATGAAAAATATAATCTTTTCTTACATAACTTGAAGCATTTTTAGTATATAATTATTCTTGGATTATAAATTAATTTTCCCGAGATAAGAGAGGGGGGTGTTTAATACAAAAATATAAATTTATGTTTAACATATATAATATATATATAAATGTAAATTAAAGTTACACTTTTCAACTGTATGTATAAGAATCAAGCCTAATATTTTCAATATAATTTAAATTCTAGAAAAAAACCATGAGTTATTATGTAAAAATATCTAAAGAAGAAAACATAACCAGGAAATTTGAAACGCCGTAACATTTCAGAGAGGAAATATCTCACCATTATATTATCTAAATTAAGTCACTGTATACGTGGTACTTACTATATTATGCAATAACAATGTAAAATGTTTCACTACTTAAAATATATTATTATAATATATAAAGTATAAACATATATACATGAATAATTATAAAATATTAACCTAAACTCCTTCTTTATGAAACACTTGATAGCGAACATTTAACTGCTTCTAGAGCGCGTATAATTAGGTTCTTTATTCAAGAACTGTGATGAGTAGACGTATTACGTCTTTTCACTAAATTTCACTCTCGCCCACCTATTTCGCGTCCTTTATACGCTTTATACATATTTAAGTATATACATATAATATTATAATATGTGCGCATATATCACACTTTCATGTAGGTATATAATATTATAAATACACCACCGACATTGGAAAATTTGTTTAAAATATAAACTATATACTAACTATAGTTTATAAGGTATAACATTGAACTAAGTTCATGAATTCGTTCATTTTATCCAAACAACTTTATTTCGTTCTAGTACTTAAGTGCATCATGTTATGCTCATTTTGTATATATATATATGATATTTAAACCTTAACTCTTCAACGTCCATAGCGAAAATCGGATTTCCATCGAAGACAATGAGTTCTCAATCTGTTAGGTTACTAACGTTTTTCGAGTAATAAAAGACAAACTCTCCCCCTCCACGTTATTGTATTGACCTAAAACCAGCAGTAACAAATAAGAATATATATTTTACATAACGTCTTAACTTCATGAAAAAAAAAAAAAACCCCGGCAAAAGTAAGAACATAGTTCAACGTCTTAATAATTGTCAAGACTATGGTTACTCGAGAAATTACTATACCTTCCAAGATGCATCTAATGTAGAAATAGTTACTAGTTTATTCGTATAGTTGGTATTAAAACTATCTAATAATCTATCAAATGCTTACCGAGAAATGAAGATCATCCGATAAACTACGAAATATATTAAGCATACAAAGAACTTTAACAAATAAACGAAATACCTAAAGTAACAAAATAAGTAATGTTAACGAAAAAATTCTGTAAACTTCCATTAATTAAGCCAAGCTTACTACAAAAACATCTTCATATTCTTTTCCACCGTATGCCCACTTTTACTTAAGTACCAGCACCTCCTTTAAATCAAAGTATTGACAAAAATTTACTTTTTCAAACTTTCTAATTGAATTTAAAGCTTTCATAAATCCATTTTTATCACTCTCTTCTGGACTACCCTTGATCGTCTAATGTTCAGTGATGTCGAATAATTAATTAACTTCTCAGTTTTTGTCCCTATTCTTATAGAGTGCTAATGGTTTAGCAAAGTATTATAACGAATTTATTCCGTCACTTAACAAAAAACGTTTTAACAATTAATTGTCTATATTTTAATTAACAATATTAAAAATACAATACAAAATAAAAAAGATAAAGTGCCCCTACTTCAATTATCATGACTGTACAATGTACATAATACACTTTGTTATAAAATATTTACAGTTTTATACTTAAAAAATAAATATATAATATTTAAAATTAATTGTTGCTTTATCTCGCTTCAATATCTCGAAGGAAGTATTGTGTATGTCATTAGCAAGTATTGTATACGATCACATATACTACTTAAATATTTTTTATTTAAAATGATAGGAATTTACTTTCTATAATTAATATTATAATATTTCAAATTTTAATATTTACACTTTATCAATCATCAACCTTTGGCAGTCCAGTGATTGCGTAAAAATGTTGACTCTAACAAAATAAGAATTTAATTCATTATTGTTCATTCATTTTAAACTTTGAATGATTGAACAATTAGTTGATTTCGAAGTCTGCCAAAATGTTTGCACAGGAAATACGTAATCACGTCAACGTCCGTCGCATAATATTGACATAATTAATGATACGCCGCTTTTTAAACAGGTTAGTAATTTTATTAAATATTACATTTAATTACGGCATTGAAGACAAACGGACAAGCTGAACGAATTAATACGAACCCGGACGACACAACACACATCTCCGACGGCTACGTTGTACCGAAAAAATTAAATAAAATAAATATGTGTATAATATTAATTTAATATCATTCGTATACTTTTTTTTTTATTTATTTTTTTTTTTTTTTTTTTGTTGTTTTTTTTTAACCGCCGAATAAATTCACACACAAATACATACTTAGTATCTTATTAAATAATCAATTAATAATGCATACGCTAATGATGACTCGTATTTTATTTGCCCTAACCATTGTGCACATACCTACGTAAACAACCGCGTACACACACATATACGTATATTGTATACAATATTTTCGTATTCTTGTGCGAGTGTGCGAGAGTTACAGCACTATTACGCTATAGCGGTCATTTGGTATAATCACTTGTTGACCCTTATAATACATTTGTATAGTCTTAACCACGTATCCTTTTCCGGATGGTTCTTCAAAAAACCTATACACGAACGGGGGCGAGGTTGGAAAGCGGCGTAGGTTTTGGGGATGCCCCGCGAATTATCCCCAAAC